ACACTTGTCTCCCACTTGTCTCCCAGTAAGCTCTGGATGCTCTGAGTCACAACCTGGATCCATAAATTTCATGTTTTAGCCCTTGTACGGCGTCCCATTGTAAAGTCAATGAAAAACAGAAATTTGATGCTTTCCCTTTGAATCTTGTATGTGCGTCTACATGGTGGACTACAGTTTTCTTCCTCTAGGAAATACTGCTGGCCATATTGTTCGGAGATCTCATTTTTGAACATTGCTCTGTTTGGGGTCTACGCTGGTATAATTTTTTTAGGCTTTTTGGTCTCTAATGACTCTAATGAGACACCATGGGACACCCCTTGGAAGCGCGAGGCATGTTGGGCAGAGGGGTTGTTCCATATCCGGTTCCCAGCACGAAACGTCCTGAAGACGGCTGGCCGTGCCCAAGGTCACGCGGTAGTCATGTCCACCTGAATCAGGGTGGGAACCATGAAACATCGAGAGCGTACACCGGCAGGACTGAAAAAGATGTCAAAACATCATTGTCTAACCCAGACGCTCCATGTATGGTATATGCCTACATTGGGGTGGTTTGAGGGGTCAATGTAGGCATATATGGCATACATGGAGCATCTGGGTAATGCCATTGATCAACATTCTCAGACTCTGAGGTTCCCCCTCAGGATTTGAATGGTTCAAGCCCCCAAACTGTGGTTTATGACATGGAATCTCGTGATCTGGGTTGAATCAAGCTGCTCGCGGGCGAGTCTGAAAAACAGGAGGAACAAAACCGGACCCAAACGCCCTTCAGTAAATCGACCTGTACATGTCAACGTGAGTGGAATGGCTTGTATAATCAACCTTTATCTATAACCTCTTGCTTGATCTGGGTCTCCAGGCAGATCTCACACCTCACCATCTCTGGAGACCCGACCTCTTTTGCGTCGGCTCCCCGACACCGACGACCTAGCAGTTCGGAGCAGTTCGGAGCACCTCGGCGGAAGTCCACGGAGGACCAGCCCTGGCAAAAGGCCTGACGGAGGACCAGCGATTTCGGGCGATGTTGAAGGAAAAGACCTGTCTATCAGCTATCAGCTATCAGGGGTGTCTATCACCCACTCTTTCCGTGCTGGGGAGGTCAGGACTGGTCAGGTAGGTCCGGTCGAGGTCCGAGGTCCGCTGCGGCCACCGATTCGGCCCCCGATTGGGTTTCAGGCACACCAACAGAGGTTGAATGACCCGAACTAGACTATCCCAGTTGGGTACCCCAGTAGGGTCCTATAAGGTCGCTTAACCTCTGTTGGCACATTGGACCAGCAACATCATTCGTCATACGTCTGATGCATCATACGTCATACGTTTTCAGGATGACCATTCTTCCTGGAGGTGCAATCCTGCATCGACACCTCCAGTGGGACTGGCCTCCAACTGAAGGGTCCAAAACCCACGTACATCTGGTGCAAGTCAACAAATTGGCGAGAACAGCCTGGAACGTGCATCAACCATGCAGTTTATGGCTTGAGGTTTTGCTCCTCCAATACTCCCATATTTGCATGTTTTTCCTCCTTGATGCTTGGGAAGTGTACTTTTCCAAAACACTCCTTTTCGGCCACAATGATGTCTGAGTCAAAGAGACCTTGCCTTAGTGTGAACTTGACGATTGGCGTCATCTTGCTTAGAATGGTCTCAATGACTATAGGAGTATGTACTGTTGTGCACTCCAACCGCACTTGAATTGGAAGGTCACCTGACTTGGCATTCAACTCACACCAGCACCTTCCAATGGGCCAATGGGTCTCCAATAGACTACTAGACTAGCCTACACTACTTGTGGGTAGTATATAATATATCCATACTGTACTGATCTGTACTGTACAGTATATATTTGCAGCATTCCAGTACAGTATATATTTGCGGCATTCCAGTACTCCTCTGCCCAACAGCCCTGAAAAATGAACTGTGGTATCACACCTTTGGGCGGCCATAGGCGCTCTGAACATTCTAGTCAGGGCTCCTCTATATGCTGGATTCTTGAATCCAAACACTGGACCCTCCAGGACGACAAGGAGGAAGAATAACTCTGAATGTCATAAAGAATAATACCCAGACATACCCAGACGCTCTATGTATGCCATATATGCCTACATTGACCCCTCAAACCACCCCAATGTAGGCATATATACCATACATGGAGCGTCTGGGATATGCAATCCACACGTCATTGCCCTAATGAAAAGAAATGTCAAAAGAAAACTACAGTTACAGAGCAACACCAGAGCACTGAACCTATGAGGTGGTCCGGGCCACCGTTGAAAACCACCTGAGGAGACGCAGACCGTGTCTGTCCAAGGGATAAGGGATCATCTGCAGAGGAAACCCATATATAATAGGTTTTGGAGTGAAAACCCATGGTTTCAGCGTCCCCTAGGGCCCCAACAACCAATCCGATGCTTTCCCATCTCCCGAGTCTCCGCCTGTTCCAGGATGGCCTTGGAGAGCACGGCAGACGCACGTCGACGCCAAAGGGGGGCGATCCGCACGCGCCAGGGCGACGCGGCGCTTCCGCGAAACGCTCAGGCTTCGGCTGCATCCGAAGAGGAGCATGAGTCGACCGGTGACGAAGGTGCCGACTGGTGTGGTGAAAAGCTGATGAACCCTCCAGCCAACAGCTTTGAAGGATGAGTTGCCTCTGAAGAGGTGCTTGCTCAGCATGCTCTGGTGCCAAACAAAACCCTTTGAGTGGACGGAGAGGGGACGGTCCCCTCTTTACGAGGGGAAGGTTTGCAGACTGCATACTGCACACTGGCGGACCCCCGAGGGAGCCCGGGAGTCCGACATTGGATCTCCGCCTGAAGTGGCGTGGACTCAACTGGCTGTGGGTCAATCAACGGTCGCGAGAACCCGCCGAGCATGTCAAAAAGCCAGTGATTCCGCGGTCCAAAATTGAAGGACCAGTATTTCCTGAATGAATTCCTGCGGCTGTATGGTATTCAGTTCTTCCTTGCCAAGCAGAAACCAATCAAAACCTCACTATATTTCAAACAATTGCGACTATATACCCGTTCCAAACCCCCCAAACACAGAACCAAAAAGCACGGTCCGCTTGCCTGCTTCCAGCTGCGGTGTCCATTCCTTTTTCAAAGCGTCTCCATCGCCACCAGACCATGACAGCGTCGATGTGACAACGAGCGCCAGAACCACCCACGAGCGTCTTCTCGACGCCGAGCAGCCGAGAAGGGCCACTGGAAGTCAATCCAGCTGCCACTTCCGAGGTCGCCTCGGCGTCTCGGGTGGACACGGGTGGGCTGGTTTCACGACCTTTCAAGAGGCGATGACAGGACCGGACCTGAGACCCAGAGAATTTGCCTTGTCCCAAGGTTCAACGGTTCAACCTGCTCCAAGACTTCCGGGAGATTTGGGAAAAAAGGTGCTGGGCCGTTGTCGTTGGTCCAAACATGGAAGTGTCTCGCAATTGGTCCTGCTCGAGATCATGTAGAAACATGGAGGCAAAGAATCCTAGAAGTTGTGTTCACATGGATGCACTATATAAGAACACCTCATGGGCTCATGGCTTCTCTTGGTTCTGGCTTCGGGTTGTTCCTACCCCTGGAGTCAGTTTTTCGGCGTCGAAAAAAAAGCGCCAACTATCAGTCTGAGAATGGACGGAGTTGCGAGTCTGCGAGTTTGTACCCTTCCCTTTTCCACCTATACTCATTGGTTGAAAAATGTTGAAAGTGGTGGCCATCATCACTGCCATCATCATAGGCCCCTTTCTTCAGGATTCAATGAGTCATGGAAAATACTTCAAGCATGCACTCAGTAGCCACCGAGTTACATTGCCAGTAGCCCTTTTGCGTGGCAGTGGCTGGAAGCACCATGCGAGACCGTAGCTCACCCACGGCTCACGAAGCTTCAACTCACGGTCGTCGGGTGGTTGAAGACTGGATGTCGGGGAGTACTTTAGTCGACTTGAGGAAGTTGGTTACAATCCCTACTCGGAATAGGTCAACTCCACCAAACAAGGCTGCTAAAGGCAGTGATGAGAGCAGGTCTGTAAAGACATGCGCGATGCACACGGGGAGGGGTCCATCCTGCCCAAACACCTATCATGCTTGCCCAAAACAACCATTCATGCTTTCATGAGCACTGTAATGGCTGCAGAGCTTGCGACGCTGCGACCTGCACACCTCAGAGTGGAACCCTGTGCACCGGCCCAGGGTGAGAAATACTCCCTCTAGGAGGGGTCCAGAACTCTCTGGGCCGGTTGCCCTCTGTCAAGAAAGCCTTTCCTTGCAAAAGAGGAACAAGCTGAGACAACTTGCCCAAACACCCACGGTACAATTCTGTGTCTGAAATCAGAAGAGTGTATCTTTGGCGCATCGCCGGCCCTGTGAGACGTGAATCCTTGGAGAAACTACATCAAAAGTTGGCTCCGCTTCGCGTTTCGGCAAGCCCCCCGTATAAACCAGCACTTGGGATTTGAGAAGAAAGGTGGACACATGTACTCCACTCCGTTGCGGAAGAGAGCAATGCCCTGGCTGACAAAAGCAACCAGTGCATTCCGCAACACAATCTTCTCAACCCTCTTCTGGCAGTTTTCGTGCTTCAACAAGCATCATGTGGCTGCTTTGGGTCTTCATAGTCCTCCCAATACCCGCCATGCCAGAAAATGAACAAGTCGAAACGACCCCCCCGCCCCTTCCGGCCTCCAGTCTGGCCAAGGCTACAAGTCTTGGACCTGAGGAAGTACCATGGCCTAATAGCCTTGACGGTTGACAGGAGCCTTACGACCCATAGGACAGTGAATCGTGCTAAGACCAGAGGACAGTGGTCAACGGAAAAGGCCGTTTGGATCCTTTTGGTCATTGTGGGAGATGTTTTTTTGGGGACGGATTTCTCGGCTCGTCCAGGACTCGTCGCAAAAAGACGGGAGGTCAAGTAGAACAAGCTCAAAGGTGGACATTACTTGGACGTGGCAAGATTGCAATTAGGAAGAAAATGATCGATACGATGATCAACTGGCTGATTGAACGGCAAAGGCTTACACTCCCTAGAATCATCATGGAAGTGGATGGCATGGCCTCGAAAGGCCAAGATTCTCCTTCTGGCCCAATTCATTTGAACCTCAGTAGAAGTCGGTGTCATAGCAGCTCTTTCTTCCAGTTCGCCGCTCCGTTTTTCGGTTCACAAACCTTTGGAAGTGGTCCAGAGGGGGACTGCTCATTTACTTTGGGGATTCTGGGATGGCCCTCGCTGCACCCAGAGTCCAAACAAACAGACACGTGACCTGAGCATTCAACACGACTGTCCCAAATCATGGGACGACAACTACCTTTCATTGTGTCCCACCACTTGTCCAAGGGACACCTTCCAAAGATCTCCACTGTGGGAGCCCCGGCTGCCTCATGCTACTCGAAATGGCATGTCGCTCTACCTGCCAAGATGTTCGACACAGTCTCCACCGCAGCCAATAGATCACCAACAAATTGGGTTGGGGATGACGCTATGATGTTCACCGAGCAATAAGAAAACCTTAAGAAAACAAACAGACAAAAACACTTCAGATCTTATACCAGCACCCTCCAACAGGTCTCCTTTGGAGGGTTGTTAGGCTCAGGTTTCATTTGGGGACCTCTTGGAGGGTCCTGGTAAGCGATGCTCCACGGTGACCTCTGCGATGCTCCTCGATCGACCCGGAAGGACCCACCGGAACAACGTGTCACGATCGACGCGTACGTGTCACGCCGTGATCCACCGGCCCAGAGAGGAGAATGGCAACAAGTCGTGGCTTCTGGTTGCCCTCCGGATTGCCGAGGTTCCAGGAGCAGAATGGTTGGCCCCAGCCGTCCAGTTTCGAGCAGCTCGCGCGAGAAAACGCGCGCGCTTGGTCGTACGTGTGTCACCTGTCACCTCCCTCGGCCTCCGCCCCACGGGTTGTTTCGGTCGAAATCCGGCTCCTGAGACCATTTGGCACGCTTGCGGAGCAGAGCAGCACCTGGGGCTGCCCAACAGGATCCACAGAGGCGGAGCGTGGCAAGGAAGAAGAATGAAGGAGGGACCTGCCGGAAGTGTCCTAAGAGCTGAGCAGTTGAAGCAGCCCAAGTGATAGGACAAAATGATGTTGTTTGGTTTTGGGGCGGTTGTGAAGCCCAAAAGTTAAAAGTCCAGACAAGATGGACCCACTAGACTAGATGTAGCCACCCACCACCTCACCCTTGCAGCGAACCAACCATTAGCATCCCAAAGCATCCCCAGACAGGGTCCACTGGAATGGAAGCGAAGCTTCTCTTCGGAGTTAGAGGGATGGTTCAGCTTGGCCGCAAAACCATACTTTGGCCCGTCCGTAGATCTTTGACCACTTCAAACTCACAGCAGTCCTTCTGTTCAAAATCGACACTGAGATGAGTCGCCCCCAAGCATACAGGAGAGGAGACGTTCCAAATAGTCCCACAAGCCGATGGGAGAAGGACTCCCATGAGTTCTGGACCCATTCTCATACCTCCAAACTTCATGAATTCGCATCCAAGAGTCTTCCAGTCTTTCCTCGCAACCAGCGAGCCAGTTGGTCGCTGGTCCTTCCCCAGCCCGTGCCGACGACCGAGTTCTAGGTGTCATCCTACAAGGAAACAAATACTGTTGTCGGATCGGCTACCCTACACTAAGGGATGTCCATTGGACATTCATTGGATGGTGCAGGACAACAAAGTGGAGAGCTGTTGCGACAACTGAATGACCAACGTTTCAAAGCATGCACTGAGCTTTTGGTGGACCCAATGAGGATCAGTATCAGGATCACAATCCATGCAAAATGCTGGAGTCGAAGAACTAGTATGTCATGTCAAGATCTACAGTGGAGGGCAGATTCACTTGTTCGATCTTCGAAGTGTCCATGTCTGTCTGGTCCTGGAGCAGAACCCTCGCCGTTCCCTGCGCAGCGCTCCGCTCATCCCGATCCGGCCTTGCGGCCGTGCCCTCGTCTTCACCTCGAGGTGCTGCGATAGAAGAAGAATGGGTCGAAGCACGATTTCGTTGGGCCGCGCCCATGTTGTTCCCGAAATGGGCGAACAACCAAAGACGTGTCAACCATCCCACGGGCATCAAAGCCGAAGGGATACGGAGACAAACGGAGACGTTTCCCCGGCCCAAATTGGGTTCGATGGTCTCATTTTTGGAGAGATCTTCCACAGGGGATCAAAATGCGCGGGGTCCACGAAACTCTCTCAAGCCCCTTGGACAATCGATAGAAACAATCGTCATGATCGGCGGGGCACCTCCATCTCGATGGTCGAGTCTTGGCGTCTACGGCGTCTACCTTTTTTCGGGGGCCCAGCACATCAACGCCATTGCTATGCCCAGGGGCCGGCAGGCACTGTCGATCGCACTCGGAAGCGCTTCGGCCACCTGTCACAAAGCGCAAGTGGTGCGCCTTCTTGTGCGTGGTCCCTGCTCTGGTCAATCACGGTAGCCCACATATATGTCCCACAACCATCAGCCGGAGGGGTGAATAAACACCGGGTATACGCAGTGACGCATAAGAATCTTCTCAAAGACAGAGTGTGAAAAAATCATGAAAAATCGCTTGAATGAATCGGCTGCAAACGTCGCTCATGTTTCCTAGGCATGGAACGCTGGACCAGCTGCTTCCGTTCGGGGTCACCAAAGGATATCTCCACACTACTTACAGGTCTCCATTGGGCGCCCCTTGGAAGCGCTAGGGAGGACTCCTTTTTGTCTTTTGTGCCATCACTCCAGAATGGTCCTGTCGAGCAGGTCGCATGCGGACAAAACCAAGTCCGAACAGCGGCGAATTGCGCAGCTCGTAGCGCGGGCGACGGAAAGCGCGAACACTGCGCCTCACCACGAACCACGGCTGCCACGGAAAGCGCAGGAGAAGTCTTCGCCGTTTCCGCCTCCGCACTTCGTGTGCGGCAGAACTGATACCGGCAGAACTGACTGACTGGAAACCTGACACCATAGCCATACAACCATCATGGCAGTTTTGAACATACCGCAGGTTTGAGGACCACCATACCACCTGACACCATGCCTCATGAGGTTGTCCGCAGTGCTTTGGGACCAGTGGTTTGGACGACCAATATCATGTGACGCCTGGTGATGTGACGCGAACTGCGCCGCTGTGACACGACACTCATTCGGAATGGCGCTCAAGGAGGTGGAACGTGACTTGGCACGTCAAGGGAGTCGAACGTGTCCAACGAACGACTGACAAATAGTTGAGGAAGCCAAACTAGTAGGAGCGGGAAAAAGAACACTTTAGGAGACTCAAGAAGTGTCGCCAAAAAGTTACCATTGACATCAACCATTGTTCCACCAAGTAGTTCTTCGGACCATTCATGTTCAATGGTGGATCCGTGTCACTACATGGGTCAAGGTCCGCGGTACCACCTAGGCTGTTAATGGTTTCATGTACAGCTAGTTGGCGGACAAGAAGAAGTACTGTAAGAAACGGTGTCCAACACATTTTGAGTGACAAGAAGAAACACTACAAAAGAAATCGTGCAAGAATATCTGTCCAGGCCGTCCAGCCTGTCCAGTCCAACTCCACGCATTCATGAAGCCTGGCGAGTTCCGCACGGACTTCCTGCCAGACTCGTCCCGTCATAAGCTGGTCTGGTCTCAGACCCAGGGAGCTGCGCCTCATCTGCATCACCAGGCGATGCAAAAGGCCTGCTGTGCCACCGATTGATCCAGTTATCGATCCAGTTCGCCATCGATCCAGTCCAGCACCTGGACGATCTCTCCAGATCCAGATCCGACACTTTGAGGAAATTTGGCAAACGACTCGTTTGCGATGTGTCTGCCACTGAAGTCTTCCCTGTCGCCCGGACGCGTCGGTCACGCTCCACTCCGATCGCTCCACCGGCGCGGAAGGCACCGATCCATCGGAGCGCGCTGACCCACGGTGGCACCACCGCTCAACGGCTCAGGGCTCAGGGCTGGAAGATGCGGTTGGAACCGTTGGAACCAGATCGCGGGAAGGGCCGATGTCAAGAGTGCAAAAGGTACTGTCTACGACTAATGTTGGCGCCTGATTAGTAAATAGGGCCCCCCCCCTCCCTCAAACAAACAGGGGGTCCTCCAAATAAACTATCACCCAAAACAAATCTGGATTCCTGGTGAGGGATCTTTTGTAATTGATTGTAGTATTCATGTTCCTTTCATAGATTGTATTCAGCTTCCTTTCTCAGGTGCTTTGTAATTGTTCTCAGCAATCCTTTTGCTTTGCAGCTAAGTAAAGGGAGATTCCATGTGCAGTTTTTCCAGTGGAAAAAAACGTTTCACAATTGAGGTCCCAAAAACAAATTTATTATTGAGGATCAGGTGCCTTCCTGGTCTACTACCTTGAAAATTTGTTTAGGAGCAATGTTTTATAAAGGGTTTAATTGTGGAATTGGTGGTTTTGGTCAGCTGTCAGTGTGGAAGAAACCTAGAGAAAGCTATATCAGCTAATTTAATGAATCATAATCATTGGCCTCAGAAGGAATTCAAACCCTTATTAATTGGGTTTCCAATTTAAAAATTTAGGGCCCAAAAAAGATTTAGCATTATAGAGGTACCATTTTTCAAACAGGGGGGTCTGAATAAATTTGGAAAAATTTAGCATTATAGAGGTACCATTTACTAATCAGGATCCAACATTATAGAGGAAGCCTCAGCACATGCTTTATGTCATGGCAAATGTTGAAGCTTGTTGAAGTGTCCCTTGTGCATCGCCACACAAAAAAACTCTGATATCCCTCCTGAAACTCCTGGCTGGTTGTCTTTTTGCAAGCCAGTTTGGGATGTTTGGGATTGAAGAACTTCGAGGGTTGCAGCTGTTCGATGCCTGGCAGGTAAACCCCGATCGAACTCCGAACTTCCCATCACTGGACTTCTCGGCGAAACGAAGAGACCGGTCCTCTTCGGCCTCGAACGTTCCAAGACCTCGCGTGCCACAGGAGTCGAAGGAGTCGAAGGAGTCGGAGGCCGGTCGGCTGAAACCGGTCCCGACGATGGGCCGTTCTCCCGGTTTCGACCGGTGGCAAATGGGTCGGAAGACCAAGGTAGACCGGTCAGTGTCAAGCGTTGATGTTTCTCGTTTTCTTGAAGTGAAACAGAGGAAGTCTTGCCGCTTGCCTCAAAAGACCTCTGGGATCCATGGTGATTTTTCTCAAAAGTCCAAGACTTGGAAACCGTCGACGAAAAGGAATGCTCCCATCTTCCCGATCGATGGCCGATGGCACCGCAGACTTGTCCAGAAGTAAGAGAAAAAACGACGGCCGACACGGCAGACTTTTCGACCGACACGGTGCGTGAGTTTGGTGAGTTCCCCCTTGAAGACTGGGAGAGAGAGCCCCAAAGAGGTGAGTGCCATAAGAAAGGCTTTGAACAGGGGAGTCTCTTCAGGCCTTCGAAGCCGCTGAACGGGGGGGGGAACCTGGTTGGCTTCAGAAAGAGCTGAACGATTCAACTACCAGGACGACGTCATGCCGCACCAGAGACGGAGGGGTTCTTGGCGTTAAACTCACACACAATGCAGGGCACAGTCGTTTCGCAGGAGCGTGCATTCTACCCGTAGCCGCCCGGAACCCCTATCCTGATTATCCTGGTGAACGGCCTCCCCTGCTGGCATTGAGAGAACTTGCCTCAACCAGGCTGGTATCTACCACTGATCAGGAGGCTCCGCGCAACTCAAGAAGCACCAGATAGTCTCAATTCGCTCCAAAAACAAGACTTCTCATCCAACACGGACAGCGACCCAGTCACCGCCCCACGCCCGTCCCTCCGACCCCCCGGCGGGTCTGCGGCACCTCCCCCGGTCGCGGCAGCTCCAAGCCGCTGGGCACCTGACGCGCTCCACGGCGCTCCGCGGTCCCGTTCCTGGGGATGATCAGGTGACCCACAGCGGTTAGTGGGTCATGGCCCATGGCCCATGGCACCTGGAACTCACCCCTGGTAGATTGACCTCCTCAGGTCTCTGTTCTTTCGGTACAGGTGCCCCGGTGCCATGACCCACAGCCGACCGTCCCCCGGCCCTCGGGGTAGATCGAACTGCACTGAACCGCCTGGGTAGATCTCTGCCGATGGGACAAACCATATAAAGGCGCCCCCCGTTTGTTCATACACCCAGATCTCTCGGTGGTTTCTTGCAGAGTGAAGACTCGAAGTGCAACGAAAGAACACGACCACGTGGTGCTCCCGGGTGACACGTCGGTGACCGTCGGAACGATTCGGAAAGTGTCGGAAGGAGTGAAGACCCATGGGCTGTGGTGGGTTGACGGTCCAGAGATGTCCAGAGTGTGCTGTTCCTTCATTGAAAGCATATTCGTTTATATAGATACTGCCAAATTGCCAAACGTATCCAAACGTGTGATTCTTTGAACCAGGCTAAGGCAAATCGGCAAATCTAAGGCAACGTCAGCAATCAAGAAGATCAAGAAGGCATGAGCTTAGTGCTGCTCCATTTTGCCCTCGCCCTCATCACAGGAGATTTCCCACCACCACCGGCCACCATCTAACCTGGCACAAAAAATGTCTCGGTGACGCCACCTTCCCAAAATGGAAAATACTCCTCAAAGAACCCAGGGTCCACTGCTTCCTCCAGAAGAAACACGATCTGCACTACTGGATGAAGCCTCCCACGGCCTTGCAGGGTAGCAGGCTAGCTGTGTCACAAACCCTGCATCTGGTGGATAGTTTCAATCCCATTTAGTCTGTTTTGATACTTCACTTGGGGCATCTTGCCTAAAGCTTCCCTTCGCTTTGCCCTTTCCCATCGAGTCGGTGCCGCGTCCGCGGACGCGGATGCGCGAATTTTGCCGTCGCGCGGTTGGTTCGCATCGAAGGCACACTGCCGGTGGCGGGGAAGTAGTCGGGGATAAAGACCTTCAACTCCTGGAAGCAGCCGAATCGAGCTGCTGGGCAAGAGCTGCTGGGCAAAAGAAGGGAGATCGGCCACATAGCCGGTCTTTCGGGAGACATGATATAGCCGGTTGCTTCGTGCGGGCAACAGAAGCCGACATAAATACAGAACCCCCACAAAGAGTTGACATTCCGACCAGGAAAATGGGCTTCGAGAATATCAAGTGAAAAATAGTTGGCAAGAGTTGCTCCTCTAAAGAATGGCTGGTAGAAGCCACTTCACCCCCGACGAAAACACTTCAAATTAAACATCACAAAGAAATAGGTACATTATCCATGTGTCAAAAGAAACAAAGCGACATACACAAACACAAATTCCTTCTACAGAGGGTTAGCGTCCTCCATTCGATCTGCGAAAGTCATGGCACCCTGCGCTCTACCCTGAGCTCGCCCTCTGCTCACTTCGGTCTCGTATCGTCTCGCTTCTCTCCGTGTCCAGGGTGATGTCTCTGGGCTGAAACTGCAGGAAGCTGAGCACCTCGGCCACATCGGCGGCCACATCAGAGCGATCCACCTCCGCGTGCGTGGAGATCTCCCGCTGGGTGATCTCCGCGGAGGCCTGGGCGCGCCGCTGGGGGATTGTGGGGCGCACCTTGAAGGGTTGGGCACCAAAGGGAACAAGCCTCCCCCGAAAGACTGGATGGACCGATGGGAGAAAAGTGGCCAAAGGACCCGGGGACCAGACGAGAAGGACGAAAACAGCGATCAGCTGCAGGGAGACCAGAGGCGACTTCGCAGCTTTTGCTCGCCCCCGCCAAAAATGTTGAAACCCATGGAAATCGATGCATATCAATCCATGCCATGGCTGGCATCAGGAAATTCGATCCAACCCCAAATGGGTGGCAGACTTCAAGTGCTTCCTTGGGTATCTGCATGCATTTCCTGTTTTTATCTCAGGTACTGCTAGAAGGCTAGGGTGTATCTGTCTCACACCGAGAGAGAGACCTTCCAAATCGGCTTCTCTGCTGTGTTCATTTGAACCAAATGGACCATCCACCTACATGTCCCCATTTGCAATCGCCTCAGAAAACCAGGTCTCACATCCAGCCTGGATCATCACCTGCCACCAATGCGGTTCCAGGCAGCACACCCGCGCAGGCGGCCTTGCGCCCAACGGTTCGCGAACCGGTGGATGCGGTGGGCTGTTGGAGCAGACAGAGAAGGTCAGACCTTCGGGAAGGATGTGGCAGTCTATGGAAGGACGCCCTAGGTGGAGGCCATCGCAAGTAAGTTGGAGGCCATCGCTACTAGTAACAAGAAGCTACTATAGTAACAAAGGGATCTAAATCTCCTCGCAGTTTAAAGATCTGAGATGAAGGATCCTTTTGAGCCTATAGACCATTCCGTCTGAAACCACCTCCAAACACACCACTTTCACTCTCACTCCAAAACAAAACGAAAGAGAACAGAAGGCAATGTTTTTGGAGAGAAGCCTTTCTTGCAACTCTGAAGGATGCAAGAAATGCCTGCTACGCCCAAGAATAGGGGCCAAAAGACCCAAAGGCACCAGCTCTGGGCTTTGCAAGTCAAGCCAAACTCCCAATGGCGCGAATCCGACGGCCAGAGCTTTTTTGATAGAAAACCCCCTCGAGACTCGTGTCTCAAATTCTCAAAGACTGTTCAGTTCTTCGGAAAAAAGAACATACGAATTTAATTAGATGCAAGAGAGTAAACCACTTTGGGAGGACGCAGCACAAACCCTAGTCCTGCGTCCAAACTGGCCCGAACCCTCACCCGCACCCTGAAACCTCAGACCAGGTGCTGAGAATTTGACGGCGAAGCTGGGAGAAAACGCTGACCTTGGCCGGATCGTCGAGGGGGGGGGGGGCGTCGCGTCATCGGATGTTTTGGACAAGACCATGAAGTCCTGCAGGTCTTTAAGGATCTCATTTTCACTGGGAAAACCGGGGAAGAGGCAACAACTCCATGATCCATGAGGTCGGTCGGATCCGGTTTTACGCCAGGTCCGACTGGACTGGTAGGAAAGGCCATGACCTGCCCTCTTGTGGATTGTCCCCCCAAATCATCCATCGAGTAGGAGCCTTCCTGGATGGCAAACCCAGAAGTGAGCACCTGCACGCCTGATCGGTGGGAGTGGACGGTGATTTTTCGCCATCTCTACGCTGGCACGACCAAGTTCCACATCTGTCAGTGATTTTGAAGCTTGCCTTCAGGACATCATGAACATCATTGAGCCTCATCTTGTGCTCACCCTGAGGTGCGCACCAATCCCTGCGGGATGTCGAAGCCGAGGAAAGTCCTCCTGCAGTCAGGCAGTCCTCCTCCCTCCCACGTTTTCAACATGCAACGACCCCAGCACCCACCCCACCACCTCCCCTCCCCTCGCGGCCTCCCCAGCTCCGGTCGCTGAAACGGACCCGTCCGCACCCCGTCCGCCAAGCCTTCCGTTGGAGGGCCCGGATTCTCCGGGCCGTCTTCGGCAGTCCAGAAAAAGAACAACAGCTCCCACAAGGGACGTTCCGTTCACAGCCCAACGCCGGTCCCCACCCAACCGGATTTGGCTGGTCCGATTCCAAGTGGAACAAGGTCGCGTCCGAGTCCGTTTGTTCTCCGATGGCTTCGGAAACCTCCGCCCATCGTTTCTTGGGGGGCTGATCACTGCCATGAAACGCCCAGTTGTTCGTGTCCCCCAGTCGGTTCGTGGCCGATATCCCAAGAAATCCCAGTGTACCATATCCCAGACACGAGTAATGGGACTGCCATATATACATGACTACATTGACTCCCCAAACCACTGCAATGTAATTATATAAGCAAATAGTGGATACATGGAGTATCTGGGAAAAATATCAGCAACTAAAGGGTCTGTTCCAGCTGTCGATGGGTTTGAGTATTTTTGAAACAAATCCAGCCAAACCGTCCGGTCGCAAGGCCGAAGGTGGGGCTGTATCTTGGCCAAGAATTGATCTCGTCTGATTCTCAAACATCGTGCCATCGCGCGGTCCGCACGATCAAGGGGTCGCATGGAGGGCTTTGTTTAAAACACCAGCTTGGAGGGCTGTGTTGCTTTGGTATCTCATATAATATAATAGTATAAAAATATTGTTTTATACTGTATACATTATTTTAATATATTTTAATGTATAGTTCTCGTATCGTATATCATGTGGCGCCAGGCGCCTTCACCTGGATGACACAGCACCGTCCTCCGAGAAGTTGATCGTCTCAGCCAATTTTCTGGGGTGGAGGCTGCCTCTGCGCGGACTCAACGACACCACAACTACCCAAGTGAATGGAGACTAAATGATGAGTCATTGGAAGTCTTGGGCTGGCTTGGAACTCCTGCGAAAACACGATTGGGTTGGAGCCCATCGCTATTAGGTTGGAGGCCATCGCTATTAGGCTGGAGGCCATCGCTATTAGGTTGGAGGCCATCGCTA